GTCGGCCGCTGCCGGCCACTCCACCAGTGGGTCCCCTGGAGGTGCTGCCCTGGTCGGTGGTGCCAGGGGTGGTGGGGACCCGTGGGCATTGTCAGGTCCTCACACGACATCGTCTCCCTCCCTCCTCTCCCTCCTGCCCTCGCGCGCTCCTTCCTCATCCAGAACCAGCGTGCGCCACGGACACGCTAGACATGGAGTCAGGCAGACGGAGGACGGGGAGCCCCGCCCCTGCTGTGCCCGTCACTCCCCCATCAGGAGGGGGTGGCTGCACTCACACCTACCTGTTGAATTTGGAAATAATGTCTCTCTCTCTCTCTCAACTTATTTATTTAATATTTCTTTACTGATTTCAGAGAGAGGACGGGAGAGGGAGAGAGAGAGAAACATCAATGATGGGAGAATCATGGATCGGCTGCCTCCTGCACACACCCCACTGGGGCCAGAGCCCACAACCCAGGCCTGTGCCCTGACCGGGAATTGAACCGTGACCTCCTGGGTCACAGGTCAATGCTCCACCCTGAGCCACGCCGGCCGGGCCCTCCTACTACATTTAGAGGAAACGAGAGGACTGGTCAAAACGCACCGCGCACAGTGCCCGTCCGTCCGTAGGGCTGTGACGGTCGGTTACTTTAAGATTGCAACTATATTGCCAGTGAAGAAGAAAGTTATGGAGTAAATGTTTTCTAAAGGTTTTTAAAAGAATGTTTTTTGACAAGGACATATCTGAAAGGGGGAAACACACCAATAACAGGTTATTGAAAAATGTCTTCATTATTTTTGTTAAAAAAAGAGATTAAAAATTCACATGAAATGACGGCTTATTGGCAAGTGAGGCCAGGCCATCTTCCAGCTCCACTCCCTCTCTCCTCACCAGTCTCCATCCCGCCTCCCGCCAGCCAGGGCCTGGAGCAGGGACGGGACCCCCAAGCTGGTCCTGCCCCTTTGATCCGAGGTGCACCATCCTCTCTCCAATTTCCAGCCCCCAGTCTGAGCTATGAATACGGAAAACATTGCCAGGCCCGGCCAGGAAGCTCAGTGGTTAAGCGCTGACCCCTGAACCAGGAGGTCACGGCTCAATTCCCGGTCAGGACACATGCCTGGGTTGCGGGCTCGATCCCCACGTGGGGTGTGCAGGAGGCAGCCGATCAATGATGCTCTCTCATCATTGATGCTTCTCTCTCTCTCTCCCCCTTCCTCCATGAAATCTATGAATATATTTGGACAAACAAACAAACAAAAAACATTGCCGAATGATGGAATAAGGACAGAATCCGTGCTGGGTCCTGTCCTCTGTACCTGGGCTGAGGGGCGAGGGCATGAGGTCACTTCTGCTGATCCCCAAAGCTATGCCACGCCACCCCCGCCAGCTACCCTACAGCCTCCAGAACCAAAGCTGCCCTACCTCCCTGCACACAACCCTTCCCAGCCCCTGCGAAGCGGACAACGCCCGTCCTTTCACCACCGCCGCCCCCCTCCCCTTGCAGCTCCTCCCACTGTGGCCCCTGCCTGTCCCCACCGCCCAGTCGGCCATCGTGGCCGCCGACAGCATGCCAGGGTGCCACCCCACCCCCTGGCCTGGCCTGTCTGTCCTGTGGCCCCGTCTCGTCTGTATAATTGGCCGCTGTCCCCGAGCCCACCCTGTGCCCTGCACCAGGTGTCGGACAGACAGAGGCCCTTCCTGAGCATCTGCGTGAGCACGAGAGGTCGAGAGCTGAGGGCACCGCACACTGGCTCCCGGGGGCCGCACCGAGGCCCGGGTGGAGGTGCCACAGCCAGCTCCTGGCTCCACGCGCCCTTCTCCGTGTAACTGACAGCCTGCGGAAACGCAAGGCTCCGGTCTGCCTCCAGCCAGGGTGTCCTCTACGGGGGGTGAGGGGTGGGCATCCCCGTCTCCCAGGCCCTGATGGTGGGGCCTCAGGCAAGCTGCTCGGGGCCTGTCTGGGTCCCTCCTCGGTGAAGGAGGGGAGTGGTGGGGCCTTCCTGCTGGGCAGTCCTGCATGTCAAGCGAGATCACGCACAGAAGGCGCTTTGCACGGTGCCTGCACCCGCGCACCTGCAC